TTTCTTCTAGGATGTCATCTTTACAGCATATTTCTTACAAGTTCACTGTTTTGTGCTGCAAATACACAACAGTGAACTTGTGAGGCTTCACTTGACAGCATAGAATACCACACTATATGCGTAAAAGGGACAAGATTTGAGACAGTTTAGTTTATTTAGCTTATGTATTTTGACACTGATTTGCCAGTTTCGGTTGAATCCACAACAATGCTGGTAAAATGTATTTTCAAATGCAATCACAATGTGTTTTTTCCATCGGCCATGTTGGCAGACTCCGTGAATGAAATCCCAGTGGGCACAGTCACCTGCCACGCAGTCAATCCAATCTTTAATGATGGAGCCAATCGTTGTTAAGGACACGTTGTTCTTTACCCACATTACAACAGCATGTTGCGTGTCTACCCGCATGCATTATAAACAAACATCTGTCTGTTATCAGTGTCACACAGCAAACAGGATGATGGTTGTGTTGGTGGTGACACAGCTGTAGGACGTTGGTGATGTGGGTGGGAGAAGCTTCCATGCTGAGAGATATCGGAGCCTTGAATTGACCAGAAAAGCTTCATTCTATTCAGTTGTATTTTGTTATGTTCTATACAGTTTACTGCTGCTCAGTGTGAGCACATATAAAAGTATTATCTTATCAAAGAGGAATGTTGCATCAGACCAGTCGATACTGGTGGATAAACGTATGACTCCACTTCATGTATGGAGGGAGTCTTCATCCGTGAGCTGTAGCATTGCCCTGACGACCTTGCAAGGTTTACTGCAGAGTTCAGCCACATTATGAATAATGGAGAAAGGTCAGGGTTGATTTTTAATGGATTTATACACTGCATGGCTGTGGCTGCATCAACACAGATTTCAGAGTGATCGTTTATTTCACAAAGGGCGGGGTATGTTCTTGCTTGAGCTGCTCTTGTTGTGTTGAAGCTACAGTTGTTAAAGTATCATCAAATGTTAACATAGGCTATACAATGCCAGATGTAATCCCAATAATCTGTTTCATGTATGTACAATGTCATGACCGAATTTTAAGCATTATTATAGAGTGGTCAGATTATACATTCCATAGGAAGCTGTTTCATTCCATAAACAATCTCTTACTTCAGTGGCTGACAAGTAATTCAAATGCATATACGAAGACATTCTAAATTTCTTCCATTTTAGTTGTGCAGAAGAGTAAATCTCCTCAGGTATTAGCAGCTCAATTTCACAAGCAGAGTGGGGTCTCTACATGCATAAAACACTCATTGCTCACTCCATGACATGAGAAGCTTTACTTAATCCCTCTTCTTAACAAGCCATTTCATGAACATCACTTTCAAATTGAGGTAATTTCAGTCCTGTTGCTGCTATGGAACGCATGACTGTTATAACAATAAATGTGTTCTTTTAATGCAATTTATTAAGACTGTCAACAGCAGCTGAGGCTGAGAGGTGTGCCCTCTAAGATGACACCAAGTGAATAGGCGCTTAGCTTGCGTGTCCCTGTCCACCCCCATAACACTGATGGAGACTAATGATCACACCCATGTGTAATTGCGATGACATCTCACTGTGACAGATCACATAGAGAGCAGTAAATCAGGAAGGGCTTTAACACCATCCTCTGACTGGAAATGGAAACACTCCAGTCCAGATATTACAAAATATGGCACGAGGGCATATTTGGATATTATAATTAATGTGTGTGCAACATTAGATGTACCTGGATACTGTAGGACGCAAATTCTGGCTCAAGATGTTACCAAGACTAAAGAGATGGTACTGTAAAAGGACAAATTTGAATCTGACCCTGTGACAATAAAGAAGGAGTTGTGCAGTTATCTTGGTGTGAGTTTTGATAACAGATAACTTTGGTCTGTTGGAGGAAGCCGGAGCACCCGGAGAGAACCCTCACAGGCACAGGGAGAACATGCAAACCCAGAACCTGAGAGGCGACAGCGCTAATCACTGCGCCACCATGCTAAAGAGCGGATTAATAAAATACATAAGAAAGCAAATAAACAAAATCAGGCAGACAGAAATATCAGTGGACTCATTCTATAGTAAAAGGTTGTCTAACATGTCTGAGGATGGTCTAAAGGATGATTATCATCTGTTACATCAGGACATTAGAAACTAACAGCCCCAGCCCTGCTACTCCCTCTCCTTTACAATTAAACAATACAATGCAACAGTCAAAAGGGGGAGACTGCAATAATGTTGAAGGAATACACATTATTAAACATGCACACAGCTCTGTTATAGTTTCATCTGAGCATTTTGTATTTTATATACAGTAATTATGTGAAATAATGTATGTGTAACTTGAAATATGGCTCATGACTAATGTGTAAGTGTGCAGGGGAATGTGCAATATGTAGTGTATTGTTTTTACATGGTGTGGCTTAATGACGAATGTGCAATAAGGCAGTCTCCATAAATGTGGATTCATACATTTGACTTCTGCCTCTATTTGCTCAGACATAAAGCTCATCAAAAATCCACTGATATGCAGCAGATTTGATCCAGATTGTGGCTACAATAAACAATCTCTGGATTCTTGGTGCAGTGGGAATCTAGAGATATTCTTCCATTATGGAAGGTTCTATTTTCAGTTCCCTCACTGGAGTTCTTTTTTGGGGGGGGTGTTTTTTTTTTTTTTTTTTTAGAGTATGTGAAGAAGGCAGACACATTCACAGCCCCACAGGCTAGTAGAATTTTTGACTTTTCAGACAGTACCAATACCCGCAGCTATCATTTACACTTGATTTGCATAATTCTAATTAAATGCTCGCTCAGACGCACCGAATCGGGGAATAAAATGTAATGTAGTAAGAAACAAATCCTTTTATATGTTAAGCTGCTTTGCTACAACATTGTCTAGCTTGCCAGGGAATTAAATATTTTACACCTCAAACCACACAGTATTATTTCCATCATTTTAGATTTGCTCTTTTTTTGGCTGCTATTAAATATTTTTCACACTGAAGATAGATTTAGATTCTTTACAAATGCTTGTCCAAATAAATATCAGTGACACCTAATAATTTCTTCTTGTAAAAACTGACCCGAGCATTTTATTTAATTCCATATTTTTTTTAATCATATATTTTGTTTACAGGAGCTACTGTATGGTTTAATTTGCACAGAGCTGCTTACAGTGTCAGAAAATTCTATTCATAAATCTGTTGCCCATTTCTGTGTTTAATATTCTTCTGCCTCTGGCAGCTGAAAACATTCAGAAAGTAGATGGAAGAGCTAATTCATTTCTCTTGCCTATTCAAGGAGACTGACAGTCAGCACAGGTTTGGGGGCAGCAAGGACATGGATTCAAAAACTCAACCACTAAAATCAACTGTACATGCTGCTCTATCACAAGACCTCTGCATAGAACAGTCAGCAGTGTCGTTATAAAAGTGGAGATGGAGCTGCCATGACAATGAAAATATAAAGAAATAATAAAATTGATCTTTAGATAAAGAATTCTTAGGTTAGGGGTAGCATTACATGACAAATGTCACACTCTGCACAACCAGTGATACCATCTGTTTTAGGATTACAAGATGATTTTATGAGAACTGAGACAAGCCAGCAGTACAGGTACAGTAGCTCACAGTGAGTTTAGTTTTCACCTGTGTAGGACACACGTAGAGTGAAAGGTTGAATTTTATGCTTCACAATCTACTTTGAAGATTGAAGGAGGGTACAGCAGACATTTCTGGCACAACTTCACACACTACTGAGGTGTACAACCAAGGGAAAAACAAACTGGAAAACAAAAAGTCCAGCAACGCTTGCAGTGTTTTGAGCAACTTTAATGTAAAGACCAACATGTTTCGGCAAGGAGCCTTCATCGAGGTCTCTTAAAAGTACTTGCTGAAACGCATTGGTCTTTACATTAAAGTTGCTCAAAACACTATACTGTAAGTGTTGCTTGGCTCTCTGTTTTACAACACTGAAGGAAGGAACAGGACTCAGGCTCCATTTCAGGCAGTTTGCTTTGATGACCTTGAGTGAGATTAATAGCAACACAGACAAACACATGAAACACAGACAGACATTTGCTCTACAAGTGGTTCTTATATTGGCTGCATCCTGAATCTGGTCTACTCTATTTACAGAGCTACGCACACTGGGGCTTCACAGAAAGTTGCAAGCATGGTGAAAGGTCATGTTTAAAATATACAGCACATTTTGCTGGATACAAATGTCTCAGATATTCTTGGTATATGACCAGCACATCCCTGTTGTTGCAATCCAGATCTTATGTTAAGTAAATCTCATCTATAAGATTAAATGAAGTTACTAACATAGAGGGAGGGAACTTGTGGAATGGTGCTATGCATATTCATTTTACTATTATTTTTTTTATTTAACAAACTTAATTAGAAGTCTATATTTACAAGAGATTTTTTTAAAGACAATTTGCATAACGCAGTCAGAACGTGGCTGAAGTCCACTTAGCTGCTTCAGGTTTAGGGCGCTGGTGTTGTGCATGCTGGCTCACTGGGACACGTGAATACACAAGAGCCATTGTTAATGTCATTAGTACATGTAACATCCGTGTTTTCCCTCCTGTGGCAAGTCAAAATGTCTGTTGTGAAAAACAGCCTATTAGAGGTAAAGACAGATAGAAAATTAAAACATGTGAAACAGCAGAGAAAGTTTCATGTTCTACTTGACTTACATGATTCCTTATATTTATAGATCAAGCAGCACAGTGTCTGTGGAAACAAGGTGGCTTTTAATAGTGACACAACCTGAGCCATTCATCATATACAGTAACAGGAACACCTTGCCTTGAGGACAGATTGACCTCAGTCAGAAGCATCTTACCATTTATTATGCCTACACACACACACACACACACACACACAGTCACATACTCCATCTTTCTTTCTTTCTGTCTCATGTTAGCCCTGTAGTACATATATAAACTACATACAATACTCTTTTATTGCTCTGGGGCACATACACACACACACAATGACCGGCATTTGTTCTCCCTCCAGGTGACGATTCTGATCATCCTAGCCCTGGCCTTCCTCGCCTGCATCGTGTTCCTGGTGGTTTATAAAGCCTTCACCTATGACCACGCCTGCCCAGATGGATTCATTTATAAGGTAAAACCCATAAGTCAGATTTTATTTTATAACACACCATCACAACACACCTATCCACAGCCCTGTGATAGTCAGCAGGTAAACAGAGCAGGTGGATTGTGCAGCAGGTTGTAGAATAGCCTCTTCACAGTAAAATAGCCCTGCAACTAACCAACTAACGATTATGTTCATTACTGATTCATTTGTGAAATATATTAGCAAAGCGATCTTGTGACCGGAAGGTTGCCAGTTCAATCCTCAGACCAGTAGGATTAAACCTAGGTGGGACAGGTGACAAAGCAGCGCTTGCCCCAGCCTCAGTAGCGCCACTACAGTGCCCTTGAGCAAAGCCCTTAAGCTCAACTGCTCCAGTGGAGCTGCTAAGTGGTTACAGGTCAGTTTGTGGTTGTACTGGGCAGCGTCCAGCTGTGAATATGTAAAGCTTGATATATGGTTCTGTGTTGAATCAGCGCTGTACATACAATGTAGGTAACACGTAGCCTTGTAGCCTACACCCTAGCCTGACGTGCATCTCTCCTGGCTGAAGTGTCATTAAACAAGATGCTGAATCCTCTCTGCCCTTCACTGCCTCCCCCTCTACTTTCCTTCATATCTAAATAAAGAATCAAAGGTGAGTGCATTGTCCTGTCTCCAATGGGAGGAGAAAGAAAATCTCCTACCCTACTTTTTTTTTTTATTTCTGAGGTCATGTTACATGAAGAAGCTAATAAAGCTTATCAGATGGGCAATCATTAATCAATGATATTAGTGATTTTGTTATAATCAAGTACAATTTTATGCTTTTATTCCTTGACACAGAAGCAAAAGACTCCACTGAGTCCAATCGTACTGTATTTGTCATTAGCTGTGTTGACTATTAGAGGAAAATTGCCAAATTAGATTTGCTGCCTATTTTACAATAATTACCACATTATGATCATTAAACTCTGAAGCCATATGGCCGAGGTAATAAAATAAAATGTCTCATATAGCCATCCTCATCAAATCGCTACCAGATGTTTACTGAATGTTGAGCCTTTCCAGTTTTGCAGTACGTGGATGCAAACAGCTTCTGATTTCTAGCAACACAAGTTTACAGTAGTTCACAGGACTCGGTGAGAGGTCACGGTCACCTTGAAAGTCTGTGTCTCTGGACAAATCCCGTCTTGCACGTGAAACAAATCTAGATTCCAAGGGGCTCTCGCTGAAGTCTGCAGAGCTATTATTAGCAGCCACAGTTCACCAGGTACAAAAGTGTTGATAAACAAGATGCACACCTGTGTACATGGCATATATGCTACACAACTAGACAGACGGTTGTAAATCTATACACACTCAAGCACATGCTTATACAAATCAAAATAAACAGTAATTGAATTTTGATGACAGTATTATGGCCCCCAGTACTGATTAGGTTTCATTTAAAGTCTAATGGTTGGTTTGAACAGCTAATCATTTTTATTCCAAAATTGCAACTTGTACAGGTGCAATTTTCAAAATGCAAGACCCTGAATTTAAGTACAGCTCATCCGTCTAACCTATAACATCATAATTAACAGTACTGAAGAAGCTGCAGCAAGTAAAAGTGGTCAATGGCAGATTAGCCAGCTGTGGTTGATTAACCAGAATGTTCTGGGGAAAGATCAGAGTTTGGGTTAAAAAACAGTATCTACGTGGTTAAGGTTGCGGTAGAGGATCTTCGTTGTCATGGCTACAGTAATAGACAGTTGTGGTTAAAAGAAGCAACACTGACTACACTACCAGCTTGAAATGAGAAACACAGTGGTCTCCTGTGTCAAAGTCCAATGTTTTATCGAATTTTACCAAAGATTTGACTGGAAGGCTCATGGCAACTGCATTATTTTTTCTGATTCTTTCAATGTAGTAGGACTTTAAGCTTACAAACCTGACCTGACCTCTGACTCATAATGGGAAACATTACAATTTAAATCACTGTGTCAATCAGAAAAACTGCATTTCTATATTTTTCTCAAGTCAGGTGCTGAAAACTGTCACAATGAATTAATTTATGAATGTTTCTCCTTGTCAGCACAAGCGGTGTATCCCAGCCTCTCTGGAGGCCTACTACGCTGCCCAGGACGCCAACTCGAGGGGCCGTTTCTACACAGTGATTAGCCACTACAGCATGGCCAAGCAGACCACCTCGCACTCTGTCTCCCCCTGGCTGCCTGGAGGAGCAGGGGGTCAGCAGCACGATGCCAAACCCCCGAGTGGGGAAGGCCACTGAGTTAGCAAAATGGTTTGAGGATGTTGTAAACGCACAGAGGCACATGCAGACGTGAAGAAATAACACAGAGACACAGGCAGGTGGTGACTGAGACCACACACACATATGTAGGACAATATTTAGAAATTTAGACAAAAGAGATGCACACTAACACAGCAGTTGCATATATGATGCCAATATAAAGTGAAAACATGCATGCAGACATAAAAAGACAAGCACATGCTAGGCCATATTTTGATTTGCCATGTCTGCCAATTTATGAGTTATGACGGGCATTTCTCGTTGATCTTTTGCTGTCTTGGGATCATCATCATCTGCTGATACATTCTCACTCTCACAAACACACACGGTCTGCTCTCGCATCACCATGTTTACTACCTTCCTCTAATTTATTATTTATTGACTGTCATGATGTATTTTCATTTTTTACTGTAATGTAATGTAATGTATGGATGTTTTGTATACGATGACCAGGCAACTCTTTGTACAAAGACATGAGTCAGTGCTGAATTTCACACTTCTTCTTTTTGAGATTCTTTGGACATTTTTTATTTCAAGTGCGTATGCTGTAGTTACGTTGTATATCCATTCATGGCCTCTGTTTTTCCTGCCTTTATTGTCCAGACTGCATAACCTCACTCTGTCAAGCACCACACATACAGATCACGTCATATACCAACCCAAAATATGTCAGTATGGTCTTGTATTGCTGTAACACATTTTTAAATACAAAATTTCAGCTCAGAGGAAAATTTTCGATGCCATGTTTGCATCCGCAACATGTCCGGAATTGATTCAATTAAAATTTCCCTCATGGCTGTTTGATAGCTCATATACAGTGACGATGTGCTGTGCTATACATTTTAAATCCTAAAATCCCCCAGTGACCAAGCTGTACATACTGTGTTCAAGCTAGTTTTTTGTGTGTATGCATCATAGTAGCCCCCCCCCAACACGTGATTTACTTGTATATTGCTTCTGCTGCCAGTCTTGTAGTTATGAAATACTGTGCATATCACCGCCTCTTACCAAAACTCTTATTTTCCCATTTTGTTACGTTTATACAGTAGATGGGCTTCAGCTGCAGCAGAGTTCTCCTCCTGTACTGTTGTTTTTTCATTTTGCAACATTGAATCCGTTGTCAAGAGTGCTTTTAGGAGATATTGTGACGTTGTTAGTTGATATGAAGCAATATGTGGTGTAATTTTATCAGTGTGCATCTTTGTCCTTCTTCTCTTGGTTTGAATTCAAAATAAAACAAGCTGTGACCTGTGCTGAGCGTCTCTCTCAGTCCCTATCTCTCACACAATGCCTAATGCAGCCCCAGAGCAGTGCAATGTGAATAACAGTGACAGTGTTTCATACAGCATGTCATGTTGCTGATGATGATGATGTTCATACTCCGACTCAAATTCATATTATATCAGATAGTGCTGTCATGTGCAGAGAAGAGATTTGTGGGCTGTAATGACGAGCACCTGTGATTGACAGCAAAAAAATACCAGAGAAAAAAACCCTTTATCTGTAATGGCTACAGTCTTACATAGTCCTCTGGGGATGGTTGATAAGGTCTCTGTATTTCTTATGTGCAGCACTAACAAGAGTCCTCAGTGAGTCATATGAATAGCTGGTTTTCCTAATTAGAGGCTTGTATTCCATTAAATCCGTTAGCTGCCTGTGTTTTTTCCCTACTGAGGTGTGAAACTCTGCCAAATGATGCTCAGCTTCCATGTAGAGGGAGAAACCAGTGCATGGAGAAAGACAAAAATAAATGGTGTGCAACTTTGAACTAATATAAACATGTGAACCCTTGGTCTGAAATTGTTTCTGAAAATTTCTAAAATTTTGGCATGAAATAGCAATAAAATTCATCAGCTCCGAGAAGTGATGCAGACACCCTATGAATCAATCTGTAAAAAACAAGTCACGCAGCATCCCACCATGTTTCACAGAATCAGACAGATAGTAGCGCAGCAGTACTAGAGGTCTGACCTTGTTAAAGCAGTTCTATCATCTCAGTGCTACTGAAAGGCCTGAAGATAAAAATAAATCAGGGCAATGTAATATTGAAGCATGAGGGAAATCAGTGCATTAGTGGAAGCACTGATATACATTTTATAATAGTAGGCTATAATTCTTCTTCTTTATTGTCTTATTATTATTACTACTTATTGCAATAACACTTGATTGTTCTGGATTTAAACCCTAAGACAACAATTAAACAGTTTGTTGTCATCTGGTGTAGCGGTAAAATACAGTATTTCCAGGCAACATGTGATGAATAAATTGTAAAAGTACTGTTCATAATGGACTACTAACACCATCTGATGTTTATGAGATGCAATAGTTCTTTTATGGCAGAAATATTTATATTGTCTTATTATCCAATTCTACTTGCTACTCATTCATACAGTACACAAGGATATCCCACTAGGTCGTTGAAGGGAAATGAAACAGTAAAATATACTGTACACTAAACTATTATAATAGGACTGGCCAAGTCAGTGCATGTGACTTCCTTCAAACAAACCAACAAACAAACCGACTTCTCACAACAAGCACAGGTTTTTTATTGTATTTATGTATTTTTGGTGTTGCATCCTTCTGGAAAATAAATAAAAGCACCACGTTCGAGAACAGTTTCTTCCCGACTGAAATAAATCTAATTAATGCGATGTATTACTGCTCTTCAGTCCACACAACAGCTATGCACAACAGCTTAACTGTTCTAACACTCACAGTGACAATGCAAACATGCTGCTGTTTCAGTGCTTGTTCACCATGTCAATATTTGCTAATTAGCACTAAACAAAACAGCCGAAGCTGTTCAAAATGTCAACTAAATGTAAAGATAGATGTACTGTAAGACGTTAAAATGCAAGTTAAATCTTGACAAATGATCATAAAAAGACGATTTTCCTGATATTTGCTGTTTTCCTTACTCCTGCGTTGATCACACAACAGAACTGACTCAGAGCCCATATGCACTGGACAGATGGTTGCTTATGTACTGCTTACACAATGCTAACACAACACTGACGTGTTGTGAGCTGGGGCATCAGATGAAGAGAAGCAGCTGGTGACTTCACACAAGCTAGTGAAAGCACACGGCTGTCTATTTGCTTCAAAAGGTCTGCAATGCAAATGGCCGTGGTACACCTTCAGAACTGGCAGTGACTCATGTGAGAGAAAATTAGTGTATACGTCAAGGTACATTCTCCTTGTATGACATCATTAAAAGACAATATAGCATCCTTCTTTTGTGTTGAACTCACTAATTTTACCAGAAATGCTTAAGGTAAAAGCCACTTCTTCTCTCCACACTGCGGAAGCCTATGATCCTCACCAAGATTATTAGACCATTCATTTACAAGACCTTATGGCCCTGATTACCTGCACGGAACAATTGGCAATCAGATATGAGGTGAACAGTGGCTTAATCCTCTCTCTGGCTCTCTAATTATAATGGTAAATAGTTTCCAGTGGCATGATTCATGCTAAATTCATTTCCAGTGCAGGAAAAGCTCAGTGTTGACTGGCAGAGAGGGAAATTAAGCCTGACATCTGAAAATGAATAGTCACATATGTCCATGCGGTCATCTCGCAACACAGGAAGAGATAGTGAGCCTGAAACTTCTCTGTCAATTCAGAGGGGCTGTGTTTGTATCCACCACAGAATAATAATAGCTCACTTTCACTGTTTCTTTTACTTTGTATTCAGAGTATGCTTTTCTTATTGCTCACATTGGCTTCATGTTTCATATTCCAGTTCTCTGTGCCAGTATGTCTCTTTCTTCTTTATTTCAACAAACCCTTTGCTGCTGTCGCCTCTGATCTCCCTCTGCCCTCAGCCACTTTTTGATTCCTCGAAGGATCCACCTCTGATCCAAACAAACCAGACAGAAAACAAATCTTAATAATACTAGAGATGAGTAGTGCTGTTTTACTTGTTGAACTGGTGGAAACAAGTTTTAATACCAAAGCTAGCAAATATATCAGCAACTACTACGTATGTCCATATTTTAATGAACAGTTAGAGATAATGAGTAAAACATTTGTTAAGAGCTATTGTGAAGGTTTTCAAAAAGCTAAAATTTTATTTAAATTGTTGGAATCAAAATATGTGTTTCTGGGTTTGTCTTTTTTGTTTACTTGCAAGACAACAAACCCAGTGCACTCTAGGGAGGTGCACTTTGTTTCTTGTGAATCCTCCATGATGATGAGAAAACATCATTCAGCTCTTAATTACTCGCATAGAATAAGCGAGGGCTCTGACTCCCTGCCTTCCATTCAGTCTCTCATTTTCCCTAAACACACACACACACACACACACACACACACACACACACACACACACACACACACACAGACAGACACACATTTACTAGCACTCAAACATACACCTATATGGCAATCCACGTAATTTGTGCTTGACACCTCCAGCTCTCCACTCAGCTCACTCCCCTGCTGTCAGAGAGAGGCCGTCTCTCAGCAGCTGCCCCTCAGAGGTGTGGAGGCAGAAAAAGAAAGAAGACAAGGAAAGAAGTAGCAGAGGGGTGACAGACCCATGGGGAATTACAAGAGCAGGAGAGGAGGAAGGTACTGTAGATGTTGTGAAAGCAGTACTCAGAAGCTATAAAAGACAGATCTGCACATTGGCAGATGGCGACAGTTTTGTATTCAGATAAAATAGAAATAAAACCTACTGGACAGGCACCAAGCAAAAGCCCTTTTCTGATTTCAGAAGGAAAATATTGTTGAATTTCCAGCACTGAAAAGTGCTCTTGTCTGACAAACATGACCACCCGCCTTGGTGTTCTCAGCCGGTCACAGCCCCACTGGTTAGAACAATATGTGCTGATTTGATTAACAGGCAAGTCAAAACAACATTCAAAAATTAATGCACACTGCCAAATGAATGGAGCCTTCAGCATCTAGACACTAAATCAACTCCTTGTTAGCCATTCTACTCTTCATGCTGTTATTTGTCCCAGTGACTTTGCTGACCCACACTGTCTGGAAACATGCAGAAGGCATCCTGCACAGCGACAAGCTGTAAACAAAACAGACTGATTGTAATACACAAGCTTTTTAACAGAAAAGAATGCATCCCCTTTGTAAATCACCAAAATTTTGATTAATAACTGTCCTTTAATTAAACCTTTATTCTGAGTGAGTGTAACTAATTACATTTATTTTGTAATTTCATTATAGTAACTAGCTACGTTTAACTAGTTACTCCCCAACACTGTCTGGGAGTCCTTCACATGTGGCAGGGCTTTCCTGAGCAGTTCTTGTTTTAATATATAGTGGAGGTTCATTTTAATTAGGATTAGAGTAATGCATTAGTCCTTGAACATAAATAATACATTAAGGTGTGAAATAAACTTATGACCGCTCCTTCACTTCACATGTGGACCTGCCTGCCGGACTACCGATGACGACAGTGAGCATATGTTTTGAAAGGCCAGCACAGTATACTCCAGAAAATATAAAGTGCTTAAGAACATAAAATATTTAACACAACCCACATTGCATTAAAAATGTAGGGTTTCTCTACCCTGACATTACAGGTGATGTATTACTGTGTGTGTGAATAATGTAGCTGAAAGGACTTTGAAATGTCAAAAGTAATATTTAGTTAAGCCTGGTAAATGGGTCCTCATTTTAATTCATTACAAGACTCACTGGGCTTTCCAAATGGACTCCATCTCTCCCTCCCTCCCTCTCTTTCTCTCTCTGTGTGTGTGTGTGTGTGTGTGTGTGTGTGTGTGTGTGTGAGACACCAAAAGCTAAATTCAAAACATCTACAGTACTGGAACAAAGTACAGGGGTGATGGTTATACTATATCTAAAGTAAATGTACTCAGCCATGCCAACTGTGTCATTTGCTAAATTGCATCACATATAAATGTTCTATCTTTGGTGCATTCATGTGTGTGTCTGTGTGTTTGTCAGTACTTTGTTCTGGCCTAGTTTCTCCCACCCATTTAGCAGGATGTCAGTTAAGTCTATGAATCTTTACTGCTGCTGGAGTGTTCC